CTGCTGCCTAAGGCTACTGGTGACTTTGTTCTTACAAAGAACTGCTTGGTTGTGTTACAAGGTTAGACTTTATTGAGCTTTATTCTTTACAATTCATTATTGTATTTTAAAAAAAGTCTCTTGGAACACTTAGAAGAAGTAAGGAATATTTTAAGTCTGAATTATTTTTGTTAAAGAGGAGGCAACTTAAGAGGTAAAAGCCTGACAGACTGCAAAGCTATTCGGCTTTAAGTAGAGCTGAATGAGGAGCAATTCAATTTGCTTTTAGAATTAAACAAAGGAAAGACATTAGATTGTTCTTAGTTGCAACTGATGGTTTGTGTATAAATGAGAGATGCAATAATATGAAGTAAAAACTGAGTGGCTTATAGCCTTAAATTTGTGGAGTCTTCCCTGAATAGAATGGATTTAGGCTTCTACTGTATCTGTCTTGCCTCTGGCTCAAAATAGGTCATCATCTTTATTACATTGCAAGGGAGTGCTTATTTGCAAAATTAATGCACAGTTAACCACAATAGGCAAATACTAGTTGATATATCCCAGTATATCTGGAATATTTCCAGTCTTCTGGCTGCCTGTGTCCATGTTAGCCTGTGTCGGCTTCCTTGTGTCAGAAGCACTAAAAGGAGAATCAGATTTAATTTCTTGTGATAGAGAATAACTTCAACCTAATGCTAATAGATAAGACAGAAGCATTTATTTGTGGTGGTTTTTTGCAAAATTATGAAGTTATCCAAGCTGCAAAAGATCCATTACATTTTTTGTGGAACAACAATGAAACTGTGTCTCATGTAACTATGCTGCTTCCTATGGGAAGGGCCTGGATTTGCATGTGGACAGTACTAGGTGCACTGCAGATTTACTTCAGAATAGACTCATATTTCTAGCAACTGTCTCCTGGGCTATCACCAGGTTTTGTATTTCTGTAAGATACTTGGCAGTTGTGACTTAATGGTTTCCTACAGGTGTGAAGTTTCGTAAGTGTAGTAGAGTGATCATAAGAGTAACAAAAAATAGGTTTTATTTTACTTCCAGACCAGCAGTTTTCTTTTATTTCTAGAGAAAGTGTTAATAAAGCATGGATAAAGGGATTACTGTGAGATCTCAAGGACAGAATGGTATTAGTGTGTATGTATTTAGCTTGAAAAACTTGGTTTTATTTTGTTGTCTAGGAACAAGCTCTTTGGTCCAGACCTGATTGCTAGAAAGGCTCTGTATGTCATGTTTTTGCTGTTTCCATTGTTAGATAGTTCTTTGTTGTCCTGGAATGTACCTGCTTATAGGAAATGAGATGCTTACTAAAATCCTAGGCAGTTTTTGTACATTTCTGTTTTATTTGGAATGTTGGTAGAAACCCATACATCTGAGTGCTACTGAAGTCAAGGGTTTTAAGTCTTAAGAACCTAGTGGTTCTGATTTTTTTTCCATAGAGATGATGGGAATGTGTCTCGGCTGAGAGTCTGTGAGGCTGGGCTGGTGCATGTGTGATGCATACTTAGCTGAGACAACTTAGCATGCAAGTTTGAGAGGAGAAAAGACAGGCTGAAGTTGTTGACTTTGCTGGCTGTTTTTGTGAGGCAGAAGCTGTGGGCACTGTGGTGTGTAGAAGCAGGTATTTTCAAGTTGCATGAAGTCAGACATAAAGAGCACCAGTTCCAAATTTCAGTTAGGAAAAGGCTTGAGTTCCTTCAATTGAGTTGAAATAGTCATAGGTTCTGCATTGCAGGATGCAATATACTTGTATAGGGGTTGATTCTCAAGGAGCTAGCTGGTTAAGGGTTGCTCTGGACCACAAAAAAACCTGAGTATAAGTGTATTCACTGGTATGGGAAGCCAGATGGTATGTTTTCTATAAGTCAAAATAAGTAGAAGTTGCTACTTAAAGGGATATTGTGAAGCTTGGAAATTTGCCATGGCATATGTGTTCTTGTGCCTACTTGATTAGGGATAGAATGTGCTAGTCAATACTAGATTTGAGGAAGTTTTTTCAGCTTGTCAGAAGACTTTTGATGAATATAGCACATGAAATAGGTTTTCCATTTCTGTGAGCAACGAGTAATGATTTGTTGCTATGGTTGACTTAGATAAATTTCCTTCTGCCTTCAGCGTGCTTTAAACTGTGTGAATAGCATTTCAGAGATGATAGAAATCCATATTAAGTTTTCCTGTAAGATTTACTTCTGTTAAGACTCTCAGTTTAGTGCTCAGATGTTTAGGAGGAAATTCAGGGCACCATTTTCAGCTCTCCTGAGCAATGTTGTCTTCCAGTAGACTTTGTCTTCAGCTTCTTCAGGTGAAGACATTTTTGCCATAGCCTAGTAGCTGACGGTAAATTTTTTTAAAAAATATTTTCTTCAGTAGTAACAGGTTTTGTTCTTGTCATTATATTAACTTAGCAAGAATATTTCTGCTCTAATAAGAGGCTGTTTGATTCACTTGCCAGCGTCTCCTAAATAACATTCTTCTGTTGTGTATACTGCTGTTGCTCAGTTGTATTTGCTATTCTATATCTTCACTGCAAGAGAAGAGAGAAGCGGGGTTGTGGTTTCGGCACAAAATAGAAAGTAACACATGAGCAAGGAAGCTATTTGTTATCAATCTTCAAAAAAAGTATTTGGAAGCTCATCTGACAGAGGTTCATTTTACTCAGCACTGGGGAGGCCACAACTGGAGTGCTGTGCCCAGAAATGAGATCTGCAATACAACAGAGATACGGACATACTGTGGAGACTCAGGTGAAGGGTTACAAAGATGATTAAGGGGGAGTGAAATTAAGATGGAGTGAGGCTCTTTCCAGTAGTGCCCAGTGACAGGACCAGAGACAGTTGGCACAAACTGAGACATAGGAGGTTCCCTCTAAATATGAGGCAGCACTTTTTTTCATGTGAGGGTGACCAAGCACTGGCACAGGTTGCACAGGGAGGCTGTGCAGTCTCCATCCTTGGAGATACTCAAAATCCATCTGAACGTGATCCTGGGCAATCTGCTTGGGCAGGGGGTTGGACTAGATGGCCTTGTCCCTTCCAACTTCAGTCCTGTGTTTCTGGGTTACTTTGTAGTGAATCATCTTCCCTCCCACCTCCCACACTGCCAGGCATTTAAGTCTAATAAGTTGTTGATACTGGTTGTGGTACAGTACATGTTGAGGAAAACTTGGGTAGAATTGCCAAAATGACCAAAAAATGGAAGTTGCATTACTAATGAAACCTGTTTCTGAAGCTAATCCAAATATGATTTCTTAGTTTGCTAAGAAATTTCTGCATAGACACCCAGGTTAACAGCATGTTACTAGTTACACAGTAACTAAACATCCAATACTCAGGATTGGTAATTAAACAAGCGACTACAACACTCTGTATCCCCTCCCACTCCCACAAAGGTAGGGAAGGAGACAATAGGACAATAGGTTAATTGAACTAGAGTTGATTTGAGCTTGTTCTTTTCAGCAACCATACAACTGGTTCTTGCTATCTTGAGAAAAACTAGCAAAATACAGAAATCCTTCTCTTTGCTGCTGGTTAGGGGTCCTAGCTTCAACATGATAAACTGATAGCAAGTTGAGAAGCAAGCTGACTTCCACAGTCACCCCAGGGGAGTCTGCATAAAGAACACTTGAGTAGCACACTCTGTTTGGTCTCCCCTCACTCTTTGTAGTTTGGGTTGCTTGATCCTGAGCTAACTATTTTTCCTTGACTGTAGCTTCTTGGTGAAATCTTTGTTGTGGTATCTGTTCTAAAACTTGGGCTAGAAGTTAATTAATTATTAGATTACTTTAGGAAATCACTGACAAATAAATGATGTCTGGACTTATAAAGGTTATGTGCAAACTGAGTTCTGTATTTTTTCGAGTTTGTTTCTTTGTGAACATCTCAAGTTATGTAGTAAAACTTTGGTTCTGATCCAATTCAGATTGGATCCTATAATTAGTGCCTACTTTAGAATATGAAGTTAGTTGCGTCTTTGTTTTAAAGAGGTAGGTTTTCACAACCTGTAAATCCAGACCTAGTCTTGAGGCTTTATATATTGTAATCTGTGAAACAGATAAGAGTTAAACTGAAAAATGTAACAGGAATCTTTAAAATCCCTTTGGAAGAAGCACTGTGGATATTATATGAATTTCTTCAATCCTGGATCTATGAACTCTGCTGTAATATTTTTTTTCTGGATAAATAATCTGAATAGTAGTACCTGTGAAGAAGAGATTCTCCTTTTTCTCCCTTTTCCCTTGCTAGAAATTTCTGACTTTGGTAGGACTTAAAGTAGCTTCTTAAATCAGTGTAGTGTTATTGCTTTAAATGTTTGCATTTGTGTTTCACTGTCTTTTTAGGTATAAATTAGGACTCATAATACTGTTCATCTACAGTAGTCTCAAAGTCCTAAAATAGACTCTTTCAAGATGTTGTGAAGAGTGAGGAGCAACCTGAGTTGTTTCACAGTACTGTGCCTTAAGTTTTCACTGTACTCTAGAGATGGATATCTTTTTCAGATCATATCCAAGGTCTGTTAGAAAACTTGCAGGATAGACAGAGTATAGAAGTTAGGGTATAGGTGGTCCTTAAGATAAAGACATCCTATTCCCGTGCAAATAGAACACTAGATCTAGGGTTTGTGACTGCTGTTTACATAGAGTACTTAAGGTCTGACAGAAGAACTCCTTCAGTAAACATAGTAGTACTGTAGAAATTGCGTTGCAGAGTCTTGCAAGGAAATATTTAATATGTTCCTGATAAACATGAAAAATAAACTGTTCTTAAAAGTTGTTTATTCAATGGTTCCTGAATTTTAAAACAAAATTTAATTTTTCTCTGTTTGCCTAAGAAGTAAGCTGTGTCTTACTGACGACCATAGGTGAACAGGATAGCTTTGTTCACTGTTTTACTGACCATTAGAATACTTTTATTATGGACTTCTGTTATTCAATATAAAGAAAATGTAATTTTATTTTAGGATAGATTCCCTAGGCTCCTTTTCATTATAAATTTTTTCTGTTTTAGGTGTGGAATATCAAACAGATGATTAAATTAACACAAGAACATATAGAGGCACTGCTAGACAAATTTGGAGGAGAGCATAACCCACCATCTATATATTTAGAGGTAAGTTTACATTCAAATGAAAGTGATTAGACTAATGGTGTGTTATCTTAATCTGACATGAAGCATGTTATGTTAAAGCTGCAACTGCCTGTTGTGAAAGAGAATATTATCCTTGTGTATTAGAAACTTAACTCTTT